CAGGACCCAAAACACGGGAAGAAAGGGCAGAGAATTCCTCACTATTATTAAAAAAGGAAAAAAAAAGATTGCATGCCTTTTCATCCATGACTAACTTTCACATGTGCATAACATTTTTAAAACAGCTTTATTGAGGCATGATTGTCATGCCATAAAATTCATCTAACTAAAGGTAGGTGCAATAGGTGACTTTTAGTAAATTTATACAGCTGCTGTGCAAACCACAATCCTGTTTCAGAATACTTCTATCTCTCCTCCCCAAAGAAAAGATTCTTGCTACCCATATAAGCAGCCAACCTCTATGACTTCCTCCAGGCCCAGGAAACCCCGAATCTATGTCCTGTCTCTGTGGAATTTCCCTTCCTGGGCGTTTGTTGTCAACAGACTCCCATAATAAATGGTCCTGTGTGCCTGGATTTGCCACTTAGCAAAATGGTTTTGAGGTTCAAACATGTAGCACATGGTGTAGCACATACCAGTAGTTTCTCCGTGTACATTGTTCAGTAATATTCAGCCTTTCCTTCATCCCTTCACCAACTGATAGCTATTTAATTGCTTTCACTTTGGGGCCATCATGAATGATGCCGCTATGAACGTCAGAATACACGTTGTCATAGTCTATTTGGGGTTGCTAGTAACACAGCATCACAGACTGGAAAGGTATAAAGAAAAACGGTTTATTTGGGCTTACAGTCCTGGTCCAAGGTTAGGGAGCCGCATCTAGTGATGGCTTTCTTGCTGGCACAGTCCTCAGGAGGATGACATTATGTGGCAAGGAGTCATGGAGCACGAGAGTCCTGGCCAAACTGACTTTCTAAGACCCATGCTCCAGATAACGCTTTAACACATTCATCCTTCTTTCTTCTTTCTTTCTTTTCCACACTAGAGGCACAGTGGATCAAACCCAGGGCCTTGGACATGCTAAGTAAATGCTCTACCACTGAGTCACATCCCCAGTCCCACTCCCCTATTAGTTACACGAATGTACCAATTCATTCATGAGAGCAGAGCACTATCTCCTCTTAAAGGTCCCTCCTAGTCCCATCTCAATCTCTGACGAGGGATCAAATTTCAACATGAATTTGTAGTGGACAAACCCTAGCACATCTCTGTGTGGACATATATCTTCCTTTCTAATTTTTCCATGTTTCCTTTTTTCTTGTTTTTCTTTCTTTCATTTTTTTTTTCTTGCACGACTGCACTAGATAGGAACCACAGCATAACAGTGGACAACAGTGGTGCCAAGAGACATCCTTGCCTTGTCCTCAGTCTTACAGGGAAAGCTTTCCTTCTTTCTCCACAATATATAATGTCACCTGTAGGCTTACAGTAGATGCCCTTTGTAAGTTGAAGACCCATTTTTAATCACAAATGGGTCTTTTGTGAGATGCCTCCCAAACCCCTTATCAAGATGATCATATGGATTCTGTCCTTTAATATACACCTTAATTGAAATTTGAATGTTAGCCAATTGCAGATTCCTAGGAGAAATCCTACTTAGAAATGTTGTGTCATCTTTTGTATATGTTCTTGAATTTGGTTTGCCAATATTTTCTTGAGGATTTCTGCATTGACATTCGTGATGGATATTGGCTTTAGTAGTAGAACAATACTATTCTTGTAGAATGTATTGGGAAATGTCCCCTCCCCCACCACCCCTTCCATATTCTGGAAGAGTTTGTGAAGGTCTGGTATTATTTCTTCTTTGAAATGTTGGATAAAATTCACCCCTCAAGCCAGCTGCACCTGGCTGCTTCAATTGTGGGAAGATTTTTCATTTCCTCTTTCCATTTCTTTACCTGTTCTAAGTCTATACAGATTTTCTACTGGTGCATTCCATCTTAACCCTACTCTGCCCCCATACTTTCTTATCTGCTGGCGCTTTTAATTGAATATCTGGTCTAGATTTTGACATGTTGGAGATCTGTGTGGCAGCACAGGATTCCAGCTCCTAGTCTGTAACTTGGGATAGTACCATGTCTCGGACACCATCCTCTATCCACTCCTACACCCCATACCTGGGTATGGAGGCAAATACTTGCAGGTGGGTACAGGGAGGGGGGGCCTGACTCCCTGAAGTACACCCACATAGCCATTCTCCACGCATCTTCCTGCACACTGTGGTTCTGCAGCAACGGAACTCCTCAGCAAGCCCTCCATGTCTACTTCATTCAACTGGGATCCTTCTCACTCATCTCATCTCCTGGCAACCTGTGTCAGAGAGGGGATCAACTATTCACTTTCTAACCTATCCATGGTCCCTGCTGTTGTTTGACCACTTTGGTCACCTCTAAAACTCACATTGAAACTTAACCCCCAATGTAGCAGTGCTGGGGGGCAGGGCTTAATGGGAGCTGTCATGAGGGTTCTATCCTGGTGAATAAACAGGGCTATAAAAGAGGTCTGTGGGAGTGTGTGTGGCTCTGCACCCATGTGAGGATGCAACGTTCATCTGTGCTTGCCCTTCCATGTTGTGCCATGTGAGAACACAGCGATAAGGCACTCACCAGACACCAGATGTCAGCACCTTGATCTTGTACTTCCCAGGCTCCAGAACTGTGAGAAATAATCTTCTGAGCTCTACTAACTGCACAGTCTGTGGTATTCTGTCATAGCAGCACAAAAAAATGGACTATGTCCGATCTTTCTCCCTGATTAATTGCTCAACAACTGAGGGCAAGGACTACCTCCACAATTACTCATTCCCCCACCATGGCAGTCAGCGCAGCATAGAATATGGAGAGGTAAAGTGAGACAATTAAAACGTTGGTTCAAGCCTGTAATCCTAGACCCTCAGGAGGCGGAGACTGGGAGGATCACAGTTTGAGGGAGGATCACAGTTTGAGGACGGCCCTGGAGAAAAGTCTGTGAGACCCCCATCTCAAATAATGGCTAGGCATGGTGGCGTGTGCCTGTCATCCCAGCTACTTGAGGAAGCACACACAGGAAGATCACGGTCCAGGCCAGCCCAGGCATAAAGCTAGACCCTATCTCAAAAATAAGCCACGCGGGGGAAACAAAAAAAAAAGACTGGTGGAGTGGCTCAAGTGGTAGAGCACCTGCCTAGCAAACAGCCTGAGTTCAAACCCCAGTACTACAAAAACAAAACAAAAAGTTGGTGATTGGTTCAACGATTGATTGTTGGTGGCAAAATGTACCTAGTGTGCCATATGGACTGATTTAGAAAGTCTGCAGAGTACGGGTTGGTATGTGGGGAGTCAGACAGAGGGCTGTGTCTACGGCCACCACTTTACAACCTCCTTGAACTCTCTGCAACATGGGAATAATTATGCCTGCCCCAATGCCTTGTGGTGAGGATTCAACAACGCATCTTACCAAGAGTTGGCCCTTTAAGGTATGTAATGTCCACTGAGGTCACTGGGTCTTGCACTTAACCCCGGCCATGACAGAGGGGGAACTGGTGGAGGGTGCCAGCTAGAATGCAGCTTGCCTAGGCTTGTCCTCCAGTTCTGCTGTACGTGTGACCTTGGCAAGCTCCCTAACATGGAACTGACACTGTTGCTAAAACGATGGGCCCATGGGAGAGGGGAAATGAGCTAATGTATGGAAATACATAGAATGATGTCTGACAACTGGTAAATAATCAGCCAAATTGCAATGTCACGTTATCTCTTCTAAACACAGCCTGAATCACCAGTTAAATTTAGGCCTTTGAGTTTCAAGAAAGTATAGCCTTCATATATACATATATATATGTATTCTTTTCCCCAGAAGTTGGGAGAGAATCCTGATAGGGGAAATTTAATTCTTGATCTCTGATGAGATCCCAAGTCCAGAATTTAAGAAACTCACCTGTTCCCAAGGCACTTCTGTTGCCAGGAGACACATAGAATTTTGCAGCAATGCAGCTCCGAGGCTTCCCTAAAAGCACAGACTGACACAAAGCAGAATTTGTTTTCAGCTCAGAGGAACAGCACGATCCCTGGCTGGGTACACATCATGGCATTCTGTAGGGGAGAAAAGGTAGATTTAATCATTCAGGTCTCCTGAGATTAAAAGACACATGTCTAAATTCCAAGGTGACTTTGAAACAACTCAATGATGCTCTGGTTCTCAGAAAGTGAGCATAAAACTGCTGTTCACCAAACTGGTGCATCAGGCTACAAGGAACAGTCCCTGGATCCCTCAGCCAGGGCACTATGCCAACCCACAGGGCTCCTACTGGGGCCAGCAGACTCTGCTTCTAGCTCTCCTGTGGGGCAAAAGGATACTCTCCCAACCTTTCTACCTGACTGTTCTGAAGGCTGATCCCATGGCGGCACCTCCAATGGCAACTGGACTATATTCTCATTGCCCCCCATCCCCACTGCAGACCACCCTCATTCTGAGTCTCTACTGTGCCGAGCTCCTCTTTGTGCCCTCTGCTCTACTGGTCAAGGGTTTGAAGGCGGTGATCTCAGATCACACAAGAAAGAAACCAGTATTGATAAACAAGTCTGAATTCTAAAGTTACTTTCCTTTTCATATATATGTTTATTCGGCATTGATGATGAGGTACCCCATCAGAAAGTCCTGAGTGGGAGAATACTACTCAATTGTTAAGGAGCAAGGAAACATGGAGACATTTACTTACAGTTAGCTTATCATAGTCATACAATACAATGATCTAATTCCACATCCCTTTTCCCACACTTTGTTTAGCTGCAGATTCTTGAGCCTGGATCTCAGTGTCACATACCTCCATTTCAAACAGACATGGCACTCACCTGGGAGGCAGTCAATAAAATGGCACAAAAGCACAGGGACATCAACAAGGCGTTCACACTACACAGACATCTTACATCTTACTGACAACAAGGTAGGTAGGGAGCAGAGATGGAGATCCAGGAAGGGGAAAAGACAACATGCATCACGGGGGCCACATGAGATGAGGTGAGGACCACTGGTGCGCAGACTCCCTCGCCCCAGAGTGCCTCTCAGCACTCCACAGACAACAGGCAGGAAAGACGAGGGCCTTCCTGGGAGTGATCAAATCTCATGCTGGGAGGATTCCAATCATAATGCAGATTTTGGGAATCCTGCGAGGACAGCTCACTGTTTGGTTCCCCAGAGGAGCCCACACCTAGGAGCTGGCAACACAGCACTGTCTGTCTATGTTGGGTCTCAGTTTTCTTCCAACCACTGCTTGAGCAGCCTCTGGAACATCCTCTTGCTCTCCTCCTGCCCCTCCAGTTGGCACTTCTCCTCAGGCTCCTGCTGCTGCTGCTGCTGTGCCCCCTCAGGCAGAAGGCCTGGCCGGTTGGCGCCCAGGCTGAGGGTCAAGCCACTGAGGCCCTGCACTAGCATTTCCCAGAAAGAAGGATTGGGGGCCCCATTTCTCTCCCCAGTGATCTCAGCAATAGTAGACCCGTGGCCCTGGCAGTATCGACATTTACATCGGAACAGATTCTGAGCTCTGTCACCGGAGGGAGAGACTCTGGTGTCCCTTTCGACTGGGTAAGGTGCCATGTGATCATGGTGCCTGCGTCTCAGGTGGCCCAGGAATGCCTTCTTCCTCTGAGAGAATCCCAGCCTTTCCCAGCGCTGCTCCTGCAGGCTCTTCTCCTTCCTGTATTCCTGCTGGAGGGGCCCTTCTGGCAGAGGAGCATGGGCGATAGAGTCAGCCCTGGCACTCAGCTCACTGAAGAGCTGTTCTGAGGAGAAAGGCTGAGAGGCCCCCGTGCCCTTCTGGGAGGCGGCTGCAGAGGTCGTCTGGGCAGACCTGGAAATCAACGCTGGTTCCCATTTCTGGAGTGGATCCATGGGAGTGTAGTATGAGCTGGAAGCTCCACTGGGCCTCTGGGGTTTAGACCATAAGATGAAGCTGGAGGTTTTGGAATAACTAGAAGATAGCGAGGACCGTGTGTGGCCAGGAGAAGCGAGACTGTGACAAAAGGGGACAAGAGAAGAAAGAATGCCTGTGATTACTCATCTTACTTAACCTTCCTGTTCTGCCTCTTCTAGCTATGAAATGGAGCTGAGAATAAGACCCATCTCCTGGGCTCCTTCTGAGGATTCCATGAGATAATACAAGTCCAGAGCTTAGAATGTTGATGGCATACCACAAAGGTTTCAGAAGTGACACCAATGATTCCATCTAAGAGGCATGTAACGTAAAATGATGAAATGTAATGTACGGTGTCAGTTCCCTGCTGACTCTTTGTAATCCTTCTCAACAATAATTATAAGAACAAGCAATGCCTGACTAGCATGTGCTCTTCTCATAAGCATTCATATATTTCCATACAGTAGACATTATGAAATTGTAAGTATTTGTTCCATGGTGACACAGTCTTTGGAATTTTTACCTTCACAATCACTGGTTTTATATCTGGTTACAAAGGGTGCTCCTGCCTATGGAAATCATCTCACAATTAGCACTCTGTGTAAATAAGAATTCCTTTTACTAAAAAATAGGGAGAGAGAGAGAGAGAGAGAGAGAGAGAGAGAGAGAGAGAGAGGTGGAATTCAATTAAATCAAACACTGGTTCTTTGAAATAATTAATGCAATTGATAAACCTGCAGCAGGACTGTCCGGGGGTGGGGGGAGAAAGAAAGAAAATAAGTTATCAATAGCAGGAAGGAAAAGAAAAGACTTCACTACAGACCCAGAAAACAGAAAAGGGGCAAATGGTCATCTACAATCATCTACACAAATAAATTCCAAATCTTAGAAATGGACCAATTACTGGAAAATCATAAGCAAGCTACCAGAATTCACCCGAGATGACATAGTATGCATGGTCCTATATTGTTTACAACATTGAATTAGTAGTTAGAAACATTTGCAAAAAGATCTCCAGGTCCAGAGAGTTTTACTGGCAAATTCTACCAGCCCCACTACTGACGAATGGAATAAGAAAAGATGGTATTTATACACAATGGAATTTTATGCAGCCATGAAGAAGAATGAAATGCTATCATTCGCAAGTAAATGGATGGAACTGGAGAACATCATTCTGAGTGAGGTTAGCCTGGCCCAAAAGACCAAAAATCGTATGTTCTCCCTCATATGCGGACATTAGATCAAGGGCAAACACAACAAGGGGATTGGACTTCGATCACATGATAAAGCAAGAGCACACTTGGGAGGTATGAGGATAGGTAAGACACCCAAAAACTAGATAGCATTTGTTGCCCTCAATGCAGAGAAACTAATGCAGATACTTTAAATGACGCTTTAGAGGCCAATAGGAGAAGGGAACCAGGAACTAGAGAAAAGGTTATTTTGAGAAGAATTAATTTAGAAGGTAACACACATGCACAGGAAAGCAATGCAAGTCAACTCCCTGTATAGCTATCCTTATCTCAACTAGCAAAAACCCTTGGTCCTTCCTATTATTGCTTATACTCTCTCTTCAACAAAATTAGAGATAAGGGCAAAATAGTTTCTGTCTGGTAGCAAGGGGTGGGGGGGGAGAGAGAGGAGGTGGAGGGGTAAGGGAGGGAGCAGGGGGAAGAGGGGAGAAATGACCCAAACATTGTATGCACATATGAATAAAAGAAAAAGAAAAGAAAGGTGCAAAATAGCTCAAAGGCAAAAAAAAAAAAAGAAATTATACCAATTCTATATAATTCCTTGCAGAAAACAAAGTAGAGGGAGCATTTCCAAATGACTTTATTACACTGATACCAGGAACACCACACACCGATATTTTTTCTTAGCATTAGCACAAAATTCTTCAACAAAAAATAACAACAGTTCCAGTCCAGCCATATATGAAAAGAATCAAAAACCACGATGAAGAGGGTTTTATGCCAAGAAGGCCAACGTTATTCTTTCACCAAGTGGAAAACAGTCAATGTAATCCATGGATTGTGAGGTTAGGTGAAGAGGCAAAATGACAGCATCATATCAAGATATGCAAAAAAAAAGTCTTAACAGGATAAGATGCAAAATCCACTGATGCTATGAAAAAGCCTGCCACACTAGGAATAGAGGACCATTTCCTGGACCTGTTAAAGGGCATACACAAAACAACCTACAACCGATACCCTACTTAATGGTCAAGAATTGAATGCTTTCTCCATAAGGTTGAGAACAAGGCAAGGACAGCCACTCTTACCATGGCTATTTGACTCCATGCTGGAAGTCCAAGTCAGTGAGGCAATACCAGGGAAGTAAGAGTGTGCAAACGGGAAAGGAGGCAATAAAACTGCCCTTTCTTATAGATTCCATGACTATCCACGTGGAACACCCAATATACCTCCATGCAAATTCCTAGAACTAATAAGTGAGTTTAGGAATGTTACAAGAGACGAGATCAAGCCAGGCATGGTGGCACACGCTTGTAACCCCAGCACTCAGGAGGATGAGGCAGGAGGATTGAGTTCTAGGCCAGCCTGTGCTACACAGCGCGTTCCATACCAGCTTGGACTATACAGTGAGACCCTGTCTCAAAACCCAAGAAAACAAACAAACAAACAAAGGTCAACACACAGAAAACAACTGTATGAATACTACAAAACTAAACTTAAAAGCAATGCTATTTACGATAGTTACAAACACCATGAAATAGGCACATAGAAAACTAACAAAATATACACAGGATCTGTACGCAGAACACCATAAAATGCTAATGAAAGAAATCAAAAAAGACCTAATTAAAACCAATGTGTTCACGGATTAGAAGATTCACTATGGGGAAAAAAAGTTAATTACCCCAAGTTCAATTAGTCCGATGCCCATCAAAATCCTGTACATATAAACAAGCTGATTCTACAATTCATGTGGAACTTACAAACTTTCAAAAACAAGAATGAATTTGGAGAAATCATACCATTCGCTTTTAAGACTTGCTATCGGGTTGCAGTAATGAAGACTGCTGTCTTGGAAAGGAATAGACACTTAGGTCCATACAAATATGGACAAATGAGCTTTGGCAGGGATACAAGAGAAAGGAGAATCTTTCCAACAAATGGTCTTGTATATCCATATGCAAAAATGTGAACCTCCACCTCATAGTTTGTATATACAATCACTAAAATTGGTTCAGAGGTAACTGTCAAAGGTACAATAAAAAGACGTTCGGAAAACAGTAAGCAAGGACATCTTCAGGGCCAGAGAATAGGCAAGAGCAAGTCTTGAACCAAAAGCACAATCCATGAAAGGAAGAAAATTGACAAGCTGGACATCATCAAAATTTAAAACTTTGACTCAGGAAAAGGCAGTAAGTTCAGACAATGAAAAGCAAAGCTATGCACTAAGAGAAAATGCTTGCGAATCACAGAGCCAGAATATAGACAGTATTTGCAAAGTTAATAGAAAGAGAAACAAGCCAAATTAGAAAATGGGGGAAAGAATGCGAGCACATGCAACAGTCTTCAACATCACGAACCATTTATACAAGCAAATTAAAGGTGTGGTGATGTACGCCTCTCACCTGTTAGAATGAGTAAATTCTGTTAGAATGAGAAAAGTACTGGCAACACCAAGGGCTGGAAAACATGCCAAGCAATTGGAACTCTCATACTTTGCTGATGAGAAAGCAAAATACTGCAGTCTTTCTCGTATGTTAATTGAAAAAAGACCCAAGTGGTCCATGCTGCAGTAAGAGCACCTCTCCATATTCTTTCAATAAACATGCCTTGGATGAAAGAAAAAGAAAAAAACACATTGAACTGAAACTTTTGAGCAGCCGTCCAACCTCTGTCTTTTCAGCAGAGTTGGAAACCAAGAATTTCCTAGTTTCTTCAGAGCACACTAGGTGCTTAGAAATGTTTAGTAATTAAATATCGGGGCAGGAAACACAAAACAGTTTAAAACATTTCAAATCATATGACCTGGCTGTGCACACATACAAACACAAACAAACATCCCAGAAAGGGAGTCTCATAATAGTTACCGAAAGCTATATCTCCAACAAGTTTGTCAATGACATCTTGTGGGCCATCGCCATTCCACACAAACACGTATGTGTAAGTGTTTATCTGGAATGGGATCTTAAGCCAATTACCTCCCAAACAATTTTCACACGTCACAGGGACTCTCTTGGGATCATATTTCTTCATTTAGAAAGCCAGTTCTACAGAAATAAAGTAATTCTCACAATTCTCTTTTTATGAAGAAATACTGAGACTTTAGAAACATCAGCTCACAAATGACCCAGATTTTACCACTCTTTGCTCTCCCTTTCTCCGCCCAACCCTCCCCCCCATCCTGTTCCCATCATGTCTGTGAAATATTTTACTATCTTATCTCTGGGTGCACCCCAAGATTCTCAAACCACACACATGAAGTTACTCATGATCCTCTCCAGAGGCAGAGAGAAGTCCCCTCTTTGGGGGGAAGGCAACAGCCGGAGCAATAAATGTGACTTTCCTTCCTTCCTTCAGCATCTTACTCCATTTCATTCCTTCAACAGTCTCTTGACCCAGCGGGATAAAGACCCGGTGTCAAATTTCTGCTTCAAACACTTTGGCCTCGAGTTTCCTTCATTTTCATCTCATGCAGCTTCCAAAGAGAGGGAAAAAGACCATTGGACATGAATGAACCCAGGACGTTTATTGGTCAGAGCTTCAGTTTGAGAGGCGCTGTCCCTCAGTGTACTGTTTCCCCACCATGATGGTCAATTTTACAGTCACTAGAATTTATAGTAAAGCATATTACCCTCCTGATGTGAGTGGGCTTCATCGAATCAGCTTAAGGCCTCAAGAGCAAAGACTGAAGCTTCCCAGGGTAGAAGCAGTTCAGCCTGAAGACTGTAAAACAGCAACTCTGCCTGTGGATTTCACACTCAAGACTGTCAATCAACTCTTAATGCGAATATACAGCTATGCTACCTGCCTTCTGGATTTTGGATTTCCCAGCACTCCCAATCCCATGGAGCCAGGTCCTTGAAATAAATAAATCTATTCATACATAGACATGGATATGCACAGATCCATAGATGTATGCATATCCTACTGGTTTGGTTTCTCTGGAAAGCCTCGACTAACACATTCACAATATACCATATCTTCGTGCAGTCCAATCCAAAAATATTTACTGGGCTAGCTTACTATCAAATGCCAGGTGATGTGGATTACAAGAAATGTGACGGAAATCAGCTTCCACTTATTTAGTGCCTTCCACGTGCCAGGAAATGTGAACTAGGTGTTTTACATCCATCCCATTATCGCACTTGGGCTGATAGAGTGGTTCAAGGGGTAAGAAAGCCTGCCTAGCAAGCACGAGCCCCTGAGTTCAAACCCCAGTGTGCACCGCCCCCCCAAAAAAGAATTAATTATCTCACTTGGATCTGCCAACAAACCTCAAGACCAGCAGAGTGACTGTCATTTCACAAATGGGGAGTCTGAATGGCGGGAGAGACAGACTTCAGTGGCAGGGTCCCACGCTGGAATCTGGTGTGAGCAGAGGAAGATGAGCTTGGAGAGAGAAAGAGGGACCAGGTCTCGGAAAGCTTCCGATGCTATGAAGGAGCAACACAAAGTCACACCCTCTGTGACCTGTCCTGGGGCATCCTGCAAACTAAGAAGCAGCCTCAACTGACCTGAGGACAGAGCTGGAGCTGAACTGGGAAGATGTGGTCCCTCGACAGGGGCCCACATTGGCCCAGCCAGCATTCTGGGGAAGGGTCATCCACCTGAGGCTGAGAAGAGGGGCAGGGAAAGAAAGGCTCTCGGGCTGCCAGAGAAGTCTAATGGGACTTTTATGTTCTTTGCTCTACAGTACGAGTGTAGTGTAAAGCCCTCCCTCCAAAGTATCCCACGGCAGCATCAGTAGATGTAATAATAAGAAAAGTGCCAGGCTCCTTTCTACGTATTTTCCCTGCACTACCTCATTACATATTCACAAATACAACCCTCTGAGTTAGGTATTGTGATTATTAATAACAAAGTCATTTCACAGATGAGGACAATTACTTCCTCAGAATGACAGGAACACACATGGCAGAAGTGAACTGCAAGGAAGTCTGTCTGGAAGCAGAGCTGGTATCCTTAACCCACCACACTATAATGCTCTCTCAAAAACATCCACAACATAGGGAAGTCTGCTTTTGGCAATAAGTAAAGAGAAAACCCCCTCAATCAAGTCTAACCAGAGAGGCAATTCACTATCTCACAAAACAGTCAGGAGAAGGGTGGGCCCCAGCCAGACATCATCTGTGACCCACTGATGCCATCAAGGACCACGGGTCCTCTTCTGTTACATTCGGTCCAGGACTGACATCCACATGTGGCAATATCCAAGTGCAAGATGGCACTTTCTATTAGTGTATCTTTCCTGTGAACAAGTATCCCAGAAGCTCCGCCCCGCCCCCAGCAGACATTTTCATCCTTTCATGTTGGCCAGTGCTGGGTCACTTCCCCATTCCTCATTTATTTGGGAGCCAGTGGAATGGATGGTCATAGTGGTCTTAGAGTAAAGGTTTAGGAATAGGATGGTTCCTTGCCAGACTTTCACCTCCCATTCACTCTTCAGGACTCAGCTGATACAGCACTTCTTCCACAAGGCCTTCCCTGAGCTTTCTCCTACTACTTCTGGACAGGAGGCCTTCCTCAGAGCTCCTGAAACACCCTGTATTTCCCCTCACCCAGCCCCAACCCCACTCAGCTGGCAATAGATGGTTACCTGTCTTTGTTACCCACTGGCCTGGGAGCCAACAGAGGCCAGTGAGTTTCTCTGGTTCACCCATCACAGAGGCTCAACCCCAGTGGACATTCACAGATATCTATCCAATGAAGTAAGGAGAATCTGGGGCCCGTTATAAACATCTCAGTATGTCGACCCTGTAGGATCCGTATTGTCCCGTTGCAAAGAAGGAAATTCCTGCATTGAGAGATTGGGTACTGTCCTTAAGATAACAAGAGCAGGAAGGGTCAGCATTCTGGCCCAGGACTGCCTGACTCCAGATGCACGTGCCCTTGGTGGCAGGGCACTGCCTCTCTGCACTCTCCGGCCTCCTTGGAAGCCTGAGCTAGAAAGTAATCCAGAGGCGGAGAGTTTGGACAGGAAAGTCCTGGAGGCTGGACCCATGCATCCCAAGCTGGCCCACGGATCAGATAACCGATGCAGCAAATATTTACCATTCCTTACTCATGCCAGTCTGTGTTCTCAGTGCCTGGAATGCCACCCAAACAAACCTCGAGAAGCGCCTGCTCCCATTAGCTTGCGTTCTGGTGTGGGCGAGGAGATAGCAAGCAGCTAAATGAGAAAATGCATGCTGTGTCCTGGTGCTGAGCACGATGAAGACAGTTGTACTGGTTTTGAAAATTAAAGCCATGACACAGGATACTTTCTCCACCTTTCCCCAGTGATATGAACTATGCTTACAAAAAGAATTTATTTCCATTCAAAGGAACCTAATTCATTTAATATTATCAGTCAAATAATACAATGATGTTTTCCCAGAAAGGACTGACATCTCTGCATGGTGATGGGTGTGGAAGCAGTTGTGTGCCTACCTTGTGCAATGTCAGGGAAAAGGGAGTCAGAGTTCCAGCCATGCACCACCCCGCAGGTGACTAAGCGTGTCCGGCCCCTGGCACGCAGATGCTCTGTATTTTTGGTACCCACACAGACAGCCTCTATCTCACTGGATCTAGAATGGAAAGGATACTCTTCTTAACAGCATCACTACAAAAGAACACTGAAGTCAGTAAACGTCCAGTGATGCCCACTTTCGAGTATGAAGGAAGAAAACAAAGAGGCCAGTGAAACACAGTCCTCAAGTTAGGGATCTCCTGCTAGGTGGGCCGTAAAGACATAGACACAGAACAGCAGTGGGAGTGCAAAGGAAGGGCCCAGGGAAGGGTGAAGAGGAGGAGGGACCAAAGCAGCATGAGGAAGACAAAGAGAGAGTCTACTCTCACCAGTGAAGTGCCCACCTAGTCACCAAGGCCACCGGTCTCGGGGTTTACATCGCAGATCCTGATGGTGGCAGCCTCAGAGACATTTACACGTTCTCACCTACAAAACAACATACCCTGACTGGCCAGAGTGTATTCATCCAACATGTCTGTACTGAGGGCACACTCTGTTCAGCATTCCTGTCACTGAGGTAGCCAACAGCCCCATCGTAAGGACAGAGCTCAGTCTGAGGAAGCAAAATTCTCTCCAAGATCTACAATAAAGGGGGAACAGTTGGGGACTATGCTGATATTAAGACATTTTGGAACACAGTGGGGACAGAAGACACAATCCTTCTTACTCCACTGAATGAGCAGGTATTCCACCAGAGGATCCACCATGCCCATGCATTCACGGTAGATTATTTCCAGCTGGGAACCAGCTGGCATAACCCACACACCATGACAGGGAACACATGGCTACTGCATTCATACCACATGGTTCTGGACTCTGGGCACTGTGGGGATAAAGGACACAGACACTCTGTGGATGAACAGAAAGTTAAGCTGAGATACTCTCTGCATCCACTCATGTGCAATATATTCTGCAGGGTAACAGTCCTCAGAAGACTCATAGTCTGTGGACAGGGAGCTGAACTGAAAATGACTACACAACAAGTGATGATATGAGCCAGGGGAGGACCGGAACACAGAGGAGGCCCCGCAGCCTGGGTGGTCAGGAACGGTGTGACACATGTTACAGGTTGAGTATCCCTTACCTGACAGACCTAGGGCCAGAAGTACTCTGAATTTCAGATTCCCCCCCCCCGCCCCCACCAACCCCGCCACATTTTGGAATATTTACATAATGAAATATCCTGACATTCATTTGTGTTTCCCATACATATTTTGTACACATAGCCTAGAGGCAATTTTAACGTGCTTGCATTTATGCGTGTGCATGTCTGCTGCACTTGGGATTGAACCCAGGGTCTCAAGCATGCTAAGTCAACACTTTATCACTGAGTTACACCCCCCCAACCCCACCTGCGCTTTAACAAGCTGTCAGAGGAGGTCAGCTGTGGAATCTCCACCTGTGACATCATACTGGTGCTCAAAAAGCTTCAGGTTTTTGGAGCATTTTGGATTTTAGAGTTTCAGATTAGGGATGCTCAGCCAGTATTATTATCCCCACTTTCAGATGCGGTAACTGAGGATCAGATGGGTTTAGCACCTCACTGAAGGTCACACAGCTAGTTCTTGATGGTGACCATTTCTTACTTAGGTCTGTTAAAAAACAAAGGTCCACCTACTATTTTCATTACCTCAATCCTCTCTCTTCTCACCATTGTCACCTGTTTTAATTTGCACTCACCATCTTCTAATTACCCCTGGCTCTCCTTACCTTTAAATTCTCACCATCTCCTAAATATCATATGTAGATTCTGTTGGGAGCGCAAGACCACTGCTTTGAGAACATAAATATTCCTTGCAAGGCACGACTGGCTACCCAGCTCAAAGCCGAATATACAACCTGAGTTTATTTCCCACCCACATGTTGGTAAACAAATAGATCCCTGTGATTTAGTTTCAACCTAGCAATTTCTCACAGTCACAAGTATGATTTTCAAAGTAATCAACACCCAGCTGAACAGAGTAAAACCAAGACTTCCCTACAAAAACTGTTCACAAAATGTTTTCTTAAATGCCAACATGGCGCAGGTGAAGAGACACTGCCCCTTTGATGGGGAACTGTTGACGTTTTGCTCCTTAAAATATAGAAATCCTTCCTTTCTGGCCTTTCTCTCTACTGCTGGTACCAAGAGGTTCAGCCAAGCAAGGCCATTCATTTGTCCTTTTTGGACAAAACTAAGGAAACATCCCTGACACACACGGGTCAATGCACAAATCAATAACTCCCAATAGGGGTGCGTCAAGTATTGGAAATCCCAATGGAAATCTGTGACTAATCCTAACACCAAGTTTCTGATCCACAGAGGTCTACTGCCCAGGATGGATGCACTCCAGCAAAGAGGACAACCAGAGATGCCTTCCTCCTCTGAGCATCATACACTGCAGCTGGCATAGTTGTCTGGGGAAAATGGTCTAAATATTTGCATGCTAATGCTGGGATCACAGAGTTTACTAAAAGCATGTCTATTCCTAAGTGACATTCTGACCCCTCTCCCTTGTCACGGATCCCAGGAAGAGTTTCTCTGACGTTTCCGTTTGGGAAACATTGCCTTCGTTGAAAACACTTCGAAGGGAGATGAGGCGGGGAGGGAGGCGATGGCCGTGAAACAGGTTATTTGTGAACCTGTTGAACACTGCTAGGAGCCCAATGACACCCCAGGTTCTTAATGATGCCCATGGGAAGTTTCGGTCCCATCTGTCCACTTAAAAAACAGCAGTCCTCAGCTAGAGAAAGAGAATTACGCCACATGCAGACTGTCCAACCGCCATTCTGACACCGAAGAGATGAGGCGTCTGAGAAAATCAACCGATCCCTCAGAAAGCGCCCTTCACGGATGGCCAAAGCAGGATTCTGGTCCCAGGATCCAAACGCACAGCTGGCCTGTTGTAGGAGATTCTCTCCGAGTCTCTCTCACCCCTTCTCCTTCTCTCACCTGGCCTGTTCTAGGGAGACTCTCTCTGACTGTGTGTGTGTGTCGCTGACTCTCTTTCTCTCTCTGTCCCTCTGCCTGTCTCCCAATCCCTCTGTAGGTCTGAGTCTCTCGCTCCTTCTGCGCGTCTCTTCCACCCCCGTCGTCTCTCGGTCTCTGTCTCTCCCTCGTCTCTCACGCTCTCTCTGTCTTTCTTTGAGGCTCTCTCCCACTCGCTTTTCTCTGTCTCAGTCTCTGTCGGACTGTCTCACGCGCGTTCTTTCTCCGGAGCAGTTCCTGCCGTCTGGTCCCCAGCGCGCCGCCTCCTTTGCTCAGCCCTGGAAACGCAGCGCGACGCTTGGAACCGAAGGGTTAAGACCACCGAGAGGAGCCGACCTCCGCAGGCTAGAGAGGCCTCATCGGGAAAGGCGGGGCCTGCGGGCGCGGCCTGCGTCACAGGGAAGGGACGCTTTAGAGAAGTTGGGCCTTGGTTCACTGCCGCCGCTGCGGTGCGAGCCGGAAGGGAGGCAGTGGCGGGTTTGTCCGCCCGAGCGGGCGGCGGAGGGCGTCTTGGCCTGCGCGGTCCAGCTCGGCTCCGCGGAGAGCCGGCGTCACGGCCGTCCTCCCAGCAGCGGACCGCGGCGGCCCGGCGCGACCTCTGCAGCGTGGGTCCGGACGCGGCGATGCACTTATCGAGGCCTTGGGAAGAGATTCCTGGCCGCGGAGGTGACGTCACGGGTGGGGCCCGTGGGAGTCCGCGAGGGGCGGTTGGTTCTGGGTTAGAGTGTGCACAGGATGACGGGTGCCTGCTCTTCTCCTTTCGTTTACTTACCCGTCGTTTTTTGCGTGGGCGGAAGAAGCCCACCGGCAAAGACAAAAGTCTTATTCCGGCGCCTCACAGGAGGAGAACCAGAGTGTCTCCGCGGAGTTCCTTTGCCTTTCAATTTCACAGGTAGAAATAGGCCGCGGATGAGTATATTTCCTGAGGCGAGGGTGGGGGATGTTTATGTAGTCAGAGGAACGCGCAGTCGGCTGAACAGGGAATGTTTTTCCCCGTGCCCGGGTAGTTTAGGAGAACATACGTCCCATCTAAGTGGATCGTCCGTGAGACGCACAGAGATCAAGGAGCAGGAGGGCTTGCCATTCGCGAGTGTCATGGGAGCACACTCCCATGTCTATGCACAGAGAGTGCGCAGACAGCAAACTTTAATCTGAGTCCTATGGTGAAGAGTGATTGGTTGTGGTCCGCCATTTCCCGGGCACACAGAAGCCTGCAGGATTTCTTTAGTCGGACTTATTTCGGGGCGCTGGACGCAGGTGAAGTGAAACATTCTCAGCAAGGTGAAAAGAAGCAGGGCATCTTTCATACCTGTCTAAGCAGATAAATGGATATGGAGAGAGATTTCACTTTTTCGCTGGAAGTAACCTGTGAATAGCCCTTTATACTTTGAAAAAGGAAGAATATGCGTGGTCTAAATGGAGGGGGGAAAACCAAATAATTATCCCCGAATATCATCATATCCTCATTTTATAAATGAGGTGACTTTTTTTGTGCCGGTGGCGTCGATGGAACCCGGGGCCTCACACAAGCCAGGTGGGCGCTCTACCACTGAGCTGCATCCCCAGCCCCCAAGTAAGTGAACTGAGGGCTGGAGATGTAGCTCAGTGGTGGAGGACTTGACTAATAGTTGTGAGATCCTGGGTTTGATCTCCAGCACCACCAAAAAAAAAAAAAAAGTGTATGTGGTAACTGAACCACAGAGAGGTTAAGTAACCTGTCCAATGTTAGTAAAGAATTAAGTGGTGGATCCTTGATTCGTATCCATCCTAGGCAACTGTACACTTCGATCCAGATCCACACATCCTGCTCTGTCCTCTCCTAAACTACAGAACTCCGGTGCCAACTGACAACCTTCCGGTCACATTGTACTCACCCACCACCAGGACAGTGAACATGACTTTACAGAGGAGAGAGTGATAGAGAACAGGCCCAAAGGCCCTGACCTACACCCTGGAGGGAAAAAGGGGCTACCAAAAGAGTTTTAGAAGGTTTGAAGAGGGGACTGTGCGTTTCTCTGAGAGACAGAGTGATGGGCTCTAGTATACCACACAGGTGATGATCAACACTGACTGTTTCCAATGTGTTTACTACTTTTTTCTTTTGCTGGCACTGGGGTTTGAACTCAGGGCCTAATGTCCATTGTGACTTGAGCCACACCCCTAGCTAGCGTGTTTGTTTGTTTGTGTTACATGAATCTGGAACAGAGACACAAGACACCAAGGCTTTTCAGGAAGCAATATTTATTAGAGTGCTGGCAGCAGCTCATCGGATTCATATCCAAAGTGAGCCCTGAGAACAGAGGGGTGTCACCTTATATACCCTTGCAAGCAGGTTACAGAAACAAAAAGCAAGGTTTCACCCATATATGGTTGCATGTAACTCTGTTGGCTACTTTATCCCCAGTGCTACACGATCTTTTCACACTTAGATTTTTAAAGTTTTATCTCCCTGCTATGTCATTCCCCCCCCCCATTCCCACATTATCAGAAGACTTGCTTGTTTCTTCTTCCTTTTTTTTTGGCCCTCCTCCCTGCTACATTATTCCCCCCCTTTGACACTCGGACCCACCTAGGGTCAAGGAGAATCATCTTGATTTAGGGGTTTGTATTTTTATAGCATCATTACATGGAAGGCTGTTTTTCTTTCTATGGTGGCCTTTATAATGATCCTGATGAACCACAATACCAAGGAAACCAAGCAGGGTGACATCAAACATGCCCCCAGTGTTGCGGGAAACAGCAAGGGAAACAAAGTCACCGAGACCACTTTGCAGGAAGCAGGAATTTTTATAACGCTAGCAGACTCGGGGGAAATAATTTCTCAAAGCCCTGAGACCCGATCAGAGTCAGGAAATGAGTTGTATACCCCCAGGTGGTTTATGTAACCAGGGGGGTTTTGCAGTAGATGGTTCACAGGTGGCCAGAAAGACAAGCCAGTTACAGAGGAACAAGCTGGCACAGAGTTTCCCCTCTATCCCCAGTACAGACTGTGGTCACAGTTACAGGAAACCTTGAAGGGCCTAGCTGGAGGTCTGTGACACTTTTGAGCTTGCAAAAAGCTGCTTGTGGCCCCAGAGTAGGAAATCCAAGGCAAATTCTAGACACACAGTAAATCCCAGAAAAATAGCCACGTTGGCTCCAACACCAGGACAAGACCTGTTGTCCCGCTTTCCATAACAAATATAGCCTGTGTTGTTTTCTTTACTTTGGGACCTTTAGTATCGCTTACCAGCAACCTCACAAACCTGGGGAGTATGTGAGCCGTTGTAACACCCAATCTGTTGGTGGGTGCATGATACAAAGTATGGCTGTTCGGAGGTCCCAACAACGGCTCTCTTACGACCTTCAGTACGTGGGGAAACCTTGCAAGGGCCAACCCAAAAGGTGAGAGTCCAAGTGTGTAGAGGAGAGCAGGGGCGTGTCCCATGTTTGAGCTTCCTACGTGCGTAGACTAGTCAGGTTCCAGAGTGATGAGAGCAGGGCTGTTGTCCCGTTGTTTGTGGTCCCCTGTTGTCTCCTGGGAACTGGAGACCTGCCAAGGAAGGTGCACGTGTTCCAGAGGGTGGTCTTGCATGGTGAGGCTGGGTCAGGGATGCACTCCCACTTGGGAGACACTGGCTTTACTCGGCTGCGGTGGATCTAAGGAGCAATTTTTGCTACTTTAACTGTAGTGGGGATAGATAAAATAACAACAAAAGGGCCCCATCCAATGGGGTTTTAATGGTTGGACATTTTATTTTTTTACACAGACAGTATCTTTTTTTTTTCTGAGTACAATTACTATGGCAACAATATATTATCAGTGTATATGTCCCAGAAAATGCGTTGTTTAAAAAAACGTTAAAAACACCATCTTTAAGTATCAAAGGACATGTCTAGGGCCAGTAAGAATAGTCATTTTTCTCTCTAAGTAGAAGACCCTTTCTAAAAAATGAGTTTGTGTCTGGAAGGGCTTTAATGCCAGATAGCTACACAAGTATAAGAACCATATCCTCATTCCTCTCGGCTGTGGTTATTTTGAGAGGTCTGGCACGAGCGACTCCATTTGAACTTTGATCGCATTCCCCCCCCACCCCCCGGTCTCCAAACTGTTTGTCTCTGAGCAGTCTCCCCTGAAGATCTTTCTCCCACCTAAATACTAACCAGGTCCGACCCTGCTTCGCTTCCGAGACCAGATGAGATTGGGTGTGTTCGGGGTGGTATGGCCAAAGACCAATCTTTCTAGATTGGTCATTTTTTCCCTCATCGTGAGGATTTGCTCTTACCTGGATTTTTATTTGGTTGGTTGGTTTTGGTCCCACGTCTGGGGGGTGGGGGAAGTAACAGGCAGATCAGGTGGGAGTTAGTGCCAACTAGACACTTTTGGCCAAATTTAAGTAATAGAGGCTTAAAAGGAGTGACTCTTAGGCAATGGGCTTCTAGACAAGGACAGTACAGAACAAAATCCAACAAAAGCAGATGTCTAGAAAGCTACTGGTTGACACATAAGTACTTATTACAGTCATTTTTTATGGACTTGATTGTAAATGCCCCAGAAGGATCAGAACTGTAATGACAAAAACTTTAAAGAGCCATGGTTAAAATTCTGATGGACAGTTTAGCAACTAACAGAACAGTATATCAGCGCCATCAACTTTTTGTTACTGTGTTTATCTAAATTTTGTATTTTAGAAGGCTTGATATACTTGAAAAACATAAATATATTTAGTATACAGGAACCAGCAACAGCATCACAGCGCTATAGAGATTATATATACATACTACTTCAATTGTTGCTCTTGAAGTAAAACGTTAGATTTTCTCATCAGTTGGAGGGGGATGGGGAGAACAGTGTCAGTGACCCCACATAGCCCAGTCACAGACACACATAGGGTACCGACTATATTAGACTCACCCAAGACAACAGTTGTTTAGCCATGAGGTCATCTAGAAAATTTTACATAAACCAACTCTTAAATGAACTTTTATTTAGTTATGACTCAGTTAGTTACCTTAGTAGTCAAAACCCTGAAAGAAATCACCAGAGAACGCAGGTAAATATTCATGGGGACTAAGTGTGGAGTTAGGAAACCTAATGGCCGAGAATCGTGGCTCAGATGTTGATAAGGAATCACATCCCAGATTGTTGACATTAACAGATGGCTCATGACATACAGCAGGATCCCACCAACCTGTAGTCAATGGAGCCCCCTAACATAACAGTCCCAATCTGACCATCCCAGGCCAAAAATTTCCTCTGCCTGACATGTGGAAGGAATAGTACTAACATCTCCACTCTGCTGACTCCAATAAACACTGGAGGTCTTAACCTCCAGTGTAGTGCTTCTTTTTGAGTTTTTTTCCTTTATCTTATCTGGAGGGTGCACTTTGGGTTTGTTTTTTGTTTTACTTTGCTTTGCATAAGTAAATCTGTGTCAACTCAGCTCATATCAGTGCAGCAGCACTCCCTGTGCTCAGCTGCCTCTTGCCTCTCTGTGTTTTGATAAACTCTTGTTGTCTTGATAAATTTGTGGATTAACCTGTAGCACCAAAAATTCCTGACAGTTATCTTGACAAAACAACAACCATTTTAAGACAGTTTTTTTTGTAAATGTAATCAAGAACAATGTAATGTTTTTAAGTTAGCCTTGTTGTTATGAGCCTAGAGAATTAAGTTTTAGTTTAAC